TCTCTTGAAGAGGGTATCGAATTGTCGGGGGTTCGAGCCCCCCATTGGGCGCGTTTCTTTTTTCGTGTGCCTCCTCTGGTGTTTGCTGTCTCTTCAGGTGCTGTCTCCTTTGGCGTTTTGTTTTGTCTCTTTGGCTGTTTTTTGTCTCTTTTGGTGTTGTTTGTCTCTTGTGGTGTGTTTTTGTGTGTTTACCATCTTTTTGGCGACGTCAGGTTGTATTTTTTAACCGCACGAGAAACCCTAACTCGCTTGTTGATATCAAAACTTTTAACCACGGTCTTCAACGAGTTTGCTGATTTGGGACTTTTATCCTTGCGAGCTGCTCACCTCTCAACATGAGTGCCCTCAAGCTAAATCCAGTACGACGACTCATATCTAACAATCACCGAATTTCTCTACCTCGGCCATCAACTTGGTCAAGATCGATATCGGAACAAGTGGGTGCAACTATGTTCATCGAATTTGATCAAGAAAGGCTCCTCATCTCCATCGCTCGTATAGACTTCATCCAAATACAGTCCCATCACTCATCCCGACGAGCCCGCTCCTCCGGAAGTGACGTCAGTTCTGATGAAGCTGATAAAAGAGATGTCAAATAATTTGATCTGACTTTACCATTGTTTTTCAGCGCACAAATTCAAAGATGGGCAGAATGTACTTTAATTCCATACGCTAGGCCTCCATTGATCATATCCAAAGGAAAAGGTTGCAAAGTTTGGGACACTACTGGTCGGGAATATCTTGATTTCACCGCTGGGATTGCTGTCAACGCACTTGGTCAGACTGTTTGAACTGTTTCCAATTGATATTATCACTCATGACGTTGGTTATATAACAGGGCATGCCGACGACCAAAGTCAGTATCTCCGAAATCTTAAAAAAACACCCATCCAGGAAGATCTTCACAAATTGCTATCTGATCATCACATTGGCTGTAGTTGCTCAGCTCTTGGCACATCAAGCTTCGTCCTTAACACATAGCTCGAATCTCTTCCATAATCCGTACGCTGGAGAGTTAGCTGTCAGTCTGGTCGAAAAAACGAAGAAATATGGAGGAATGGGATTCTCAGGCTCAACTCAAAAGAAAAACGTTAATGCATCTGGTTGCAAAGTATTTTTCGCTAATTCAGGCGCTGAAGCAAACGTGAGTTATGCAACAATCTTAACTCGATTTGAGGAATACAAAATCTATCTCTTATTTTACAATTTCTCTGACTTTAAGCTGATGACTTGGAGTATTATCTGAAATGATTAGGAAGGTGCGTTGAAGTTTGCGCGCAAGTTTGGCAAAGTTCAAGATCCTACAGGCAAGAAACACGGCTTGGTATGGTCTTTTCACTGCAATTTGTCTATCCACTTCAGCACACGTATTGATGTGATTCTTATCTGGGCAGGTGTGCTTCGGAGATGGGTTTCATGGTCGTACAATGGGTGCACTATCAGTCACATATCAACCTAAATATCAAGCTCCTTTTGAACCTCTGATCCCCGGTGTGACGCATGGAAAATTGAATGATGTTGCTGCTCTCAAGGACTTGATTACCGAAGAGACATGTGGAGTCATTGTTGAACCCATCCAAGTGAGAGACGCTCTCGACTTTGGCTATCTTTTTCTGACCGCAATCAAGCACTTTAAATCTCATTCATTTCGTTAATAGGGAGAAGGAGGCATCATGGAAGCTTCAGAAGAATTTTTGCGCGCTCTGAGGCGCCGTTGTGACGAAGTGAAAGCCGTGCTGATTTTTGATGAGATTCAAGTGAGTCGCCCTCAAGTAGTCTGAATCTACTTTGATTCTGCAGCTGAACCCTGCGTGGCGAACAGTGTGGACTAGGTCGAACAGGTCATTTATGGGCCCACGCGTCCTTTGATACCGATTGCCATCCGGATATTCTGACTATGGCCAAACCACTTGCAAATGGAATTCCTATCGGAGCTATCCTGATGAGAAACGAAGTGGCAAATGTGATTCAACTGGGTGAGTTTATCTGGACCTTCATATCCATCTCCTCGGCCATCTCAATCTTTTTTCTTTGTATCATCACAGGTGACCACGGGACCACATTTGGGTGAGTTGGGAATCGAGGACTCTGCAGATATCTCATCATATAGACAGTCTCCCAATATGGCTCAAACTGACACATTTACGGTCATATGAAGTGGCGGTCCTTTGCAGACATCCATTGCCCATCATGTACTTCAAAGGATTGCCCGCGACGACTTCCTTGCTCGGGTCCATCATGCCGGATCTCTTCTCAAAGATCGATTGACTAAACTATTTCAAGACTTCCCAACTCTTATAGCAGGCCCCATCCGTGGACGTGGATTGATGGCAGGTATGCAAATGAAACAGGCCGAGCACGTCAACGAAGTAGTCAGGATGTGTCGTGAAAGAGGCGTACTCGTTCTTAGTTGTGGAAACTCAACCGTGAGATTTGTACCCAGTTTGATAGTTGAAGATCAAGAAATTATCATGGCTACGGATGTACTTGGGGCTGTACTGCAAGAACTAATGCGCAGTGCTGGTCGTTGACTTTCATTTTGGTCTCTCTCCTCACTAAGGGATTCCACGTAGTCTTTTACGGCTACATTTGTAGATTATATGTGCGTAGTAGATTATCAAACTTTGTCCATAGCACCTGGAGCTGGATCCGTTATCAATCCCAATGACTAAGGATCATGCAATTCACGGGAATATTCGGTGTCAATGATGTACTGGTATCACTGATTCGTGCTTCTACGTATCATCTGCTCTGATGCTTTCACGATGTGGAACTCTGTTGTCTTAGCTTCAAATTTTAACTCTGTCTTCTATTGAGACGGCTCATACATCCCATCAAACATTGAACAATTGAGGATAAGTGATATTTTTCACTCAATCTGTAGAGCTCTTTAGACAAATTAAATAAATGATTTGTAATTCAAAACCACAGATTGTGTGAGGCATATATCATTTGATGAGTGAGTCTATAGAAACATCAAATAACAGAACAAACTTTCTGCATTGCTGTGCGGGAAGGCTGTCACAGGATACAATCAAAAAACCAGAATGAGACATCTTCCAATTGACAGTGGGAATACTTCTCGACCAACACATAGAATCAATATTATTTGTCAGATTTTGGCTGGCCTCTCGATGCCTGGAAGCATGGGCGCAAGAAGGTTAAAAATGAAATCAAAGAAGTCAGCCTGTGTCTCATTATAAGTCAGAATGTAACTGCGCCCTGCAGCCAGGAAGACACAAAACTGTCCCTACTACTCATTGCTGGATATTGATATTCCTTCCGACTCAAGCCAAGGCGAAACACCTGTCTCACTACCCGGGGTGGTGAACCCGGTAGAGCCCCGCTACACGAGGCTAGGTTTGGCACTTCTCGGCAACCTTTTGACATTGCGGATTGCGGGCGCGAGTCACCGACTAGCGATTCAAATTTTACGAGTCTGCCTTCTTCCGAGCTTCGATCTTGTTGCAAAACCATGGCCTCCAAACAAGTGGGTAACGCATTTGTCCGGTGGGTGAATTGGTCGATCTTAGCGCTGGAATAATTCATTCAACAAGAAGCTGATTAAAATTCTACCTCCGAATTTACACATTGTGATCGAAACTCACAGCCTCATTGTCGAAGCTGGAAAAGCTAGTCCTTCACCTCCCGTCGGCCCTGCTTTGGGAGCCAGAGGAGTGAAGGCGATGGAGTAAATTCAATTCTCTACATCACGTCTAAACGCAATGTCTCTGAAGCTCAGCTCATCTCCTCCTTTTCTCTTTACAGTTTTTGCAAGCTTTTCAACGCACAAACGGGTCAGTCCACCTCAAAGGATTGACTCACATATTCATACTCGCAAGCACTCACTGATATTGTATAATTGGTTCACCAGCTCACTATGAACCTTCGACCCCCATGCGAGTCAAGCTATCGATTGCACCCGATCGGACCTTCACCTTCCAACTCAGCTCACCTCCTACCTCTCACTTTTTTTTCAAGACACTCGGCATTGCTAAAGGAGCCGGTGATACCGGAAAGACGGGATCTATACCAGTGGGCGAACTTAGCCTCAAACACGTGTATGAGATTGCGAAAATTAAGAAATCAGATCCCGGTATGGATCACATCCCTCTAGAAAGTGTAGCGCGAAGTGTTGTAGCTCAAGCTCATAATATGGGTATCAAAGTCATTGCATGATGAAATTTTCCAATCATCCACCCTGCTCCGACAGCCTCAGGCGAGATACGTGGAATCAGGAACCAGCAGCGTAAACGTGATTGACCGACGAGTCTTACTGGAGCTGCCAAAGGCATCATATCTCCACTTCGAAAGCCCGGTCAAAAAAGGTTGATTGAGGTCGTCACAATGTACTATGTTGTCACGAAGCAACATCTGTAGACTATATGCAATCTGCACGGACACCACAGAAGACAATCAAAATCTATCAGCCTCATCTTTAACTCGAGAAACTTGGCTCTCTCTACACTCAGTTTGTCAAAATATCCATTAGCACCAATAGTAGTCGTATAGTGATTCACTTAAATCCACTAAGCTTGCAATCAATACCTATCGATGAAAATCAGATCCCACTGGAGAAAAGACATCTTGGCTCAGCCAAGCCCGAGAGAACGCATCACATGAGTAGGAGGGACCCCGAGTCATTTCCCAGATACGTAAGCCTACGCGAAGATGCTATTCCTGCAATGATCTTCTCGCACTTTTTTGCAATCAGCACTGCATTTTGTTGTGTTCTGGTGTATAGTCACTACTGGGTGTCCAGATGATTCTAGTTGGACTCAAAGCTTGCTCCAAGATCACACTGCAGCAATGTGTTGTCCTGCCTTGATTTATCCATCCAATGTCCTGTGTTATGAGTTATCCCTTCCAGCGGGTCATTTACACAGTATTTTGAATCTGGTCAAGATTAATGCAGGGATGCATGTGATGTTTTTGAGTGGCGCAATTCCCTCGTGGGGGGCACGCCGATCTGAGTAAGTGTACAAACTGATTGCGACCATGGTCGATTAGCTTAGTCGGTAGAGCGTGGTACTAATACGATGTTGTGTCAATGCCAAGGTCGGGAGTTCGAGCCTCCCATTGACCAAGATTTTTATTGTGTCCCTCGGCGACTTCAGCTGGTACGACATTGAGTCAATTGACTCTGCTTAGGTTTTTCAATGATGTCAAATAGAGTGAGGTGGTCAGTTGGCAATATGGGGTAAGTCCATGAGGCTTTCTAGCTCAACTGTTCAATATGCTGTAACATTCAAGGTACAGGTGATACTACTCAACAATGAGCTTAGTACAGTGAGGAAAACTATATAATTGGCACAAAACAACCAGCAAAGATCTTTTGTAGTACTTTGACTATGAAGGTATGTCGAGCAGTTTTGTAAACCTTGGACTTCAAGCTCACACAAAACTTGGAGTCAATCAAACTGACAAAATGTAAAATCTAAACTTTTATTTAGTTATAAAGGTTACAAAGTTAACTTTTGAGTTCTTTGTAAGATACTCTTCAAAAAAATTTGTACCCAGGGCTTTAGGGGTTTCCAGCACACAGTGGTGTACTACATACTGCTCACACAGCACTTAGGCCAGGAATGTTTGACATGCAAATATTAGTAGATAAGAATCAGCACTTACTAGAATTATCATAAAAAATGTAAACAATGATAGATATGATATAAATCTCTGTACACGTGGATCATTTGCTATATATCAGGTACTATATACATGTACTACCAATGCCTGAGGTGTCCTGCTTCAAATAGCAATAGTGGAGCGGCAGCAGGGTGGCTTGACCCACTCACACTACAGTCCAGGATGTAGCATGTTTGATTGCCCCGCTTGCATTACCTAACATAAAATCTTGAGATAAGGGAGCACTGTTTTAGCGGGGCAGTATGTGATCTTGCCGCGCTAATAGCCATCCAACCTTTTATGCAGCAGGTGTAAGCCGCTCTGATCTTATATCATCAAAGGAGTTGATATAAGGTATTGACACCCTTTCAGATATCAGCAATCAAGATCTGATACCTCCCTCCTCCTTTGTCAAACCAGCGTCCATTCTCCACCCAAGGTATGTGCAGCTGGTTTTTTGTATCAACTTCAACTTGCTTAGCTGACAATCAATCTTACCCATTTCATTCCATCTGTCAAACATACAAGTATTTTCCAACTTCCACCTCACCATCTTACCATCTCACGTCCCACCGCCCTGCTGATTGAATTGTTGGGCACTTGTCAATATAATCATGACCATCAGCATGGTCCCAATTGAGGTCTTTGATGCCTTGATTGGTACCTTATATAAGGTGAGTATTTTACCTTGTTTTTATTTTGATTACAAACTCCATAATTTTAATTTGACAAATCTTTTGATAAGTAATTGTTTCACTTCCCAATTGAAATCATCAGGTCATGGTTACCATGGTCCTTCTCTCATCAGTTGTATCTACTCCAAAAGATCACTTCCCTAATACCGGTCTGAACCTATGTCCTTGCACCTCAACCAAACCCAAACCGGAATTTGTTGTCCAGTCACCCAATCTACAAGTTGCTGCTGTAGGCCCTTTGCCTGTTGGTGATGCGCCATCTGACAACAAGGCCAGTGTTTACAAGGTCTCTAGTGGCCATTCAAACAATGGAGACAACGTTGAGGCAATTGACAAAGAAGACTTACAGACAAGTGTGAAACCCTCAAGAAAGCAAAGAAAGGGCATCAATTTGAAACGTTTGCCAAAACCAGAGGTTGTCCACGGGGCTCAGGTGCATCTCAAAGCTTGAAACAAGCTCCTTCAAAGAAAAAAAGAAAGAGCTTGGTTCACAAGTGTCACAAGTCTTGGTAAGTGACGTTTTGGATTTTCACTAATCCTTTTCACAATATCTGCATACTGACAATTTTCAAATCACTTTCAATCCTTGATTCAACTAGGCCACTGTCCCAGATTGCATTGATGTGAATCAAGGCTTGGATATTGAGATTATCAAGGCTCCTGGGGTTTGTTGTGCTTAATTGGAGAGATTTTCACACCTCTTGGAATACTATTACCCTCCGATACACGTCAAAGGCAATGTAAGTCAATTTTTTTTGATTTTTCTCCCCCACTTCAATATTGTGAAATAATGATTGATTCACCAGTTCTCTCTCTATCCATGTAAAGACTGGTGAGGATCCCATATTGTTCAAGTGCAGCTGGTGTAATTCTACCTTTGTGCAAGGGACCCAAAGCCATTACAACCTTTACACCCATTGTGACCGGGCTAAAGGCCAAGTACCTTGTGCTTCTCAATGCCATGTGATCCTGGCAGGAATGAAGTTACCCATAACTTACACAGAAGAACAAGCTGAGAACGTGCAGGCAAACAACACCAATGGTCAACCAACCTTTGATGCATTCCTTTCTCAGGCCACCTTCAGTCTGGAATTATGTAATGTTGTTCTTGTGATATGGATACTACGTCATGCACTCCCGTTGAACCGTTTCTATAACTCACCCATGCATGCTGCATTCAATTGGCTAAATGACAAGCGCATTTGCGGACTCCTACTTGGTCCAAGCAGTACCAACTATCTATATTGGAAGAATGATTTATGTGTTATTGTTAGGGCTATGACCCGGCCCCTATTGGAATTCAGTGTGATAGTCAAGACCTTCAAGCGTTAAGTTACCGATGACAAGTGAACTGATATCACATTAACAAATTTGACTTATTAGGAAATACTTCTATTTGCTCAAAGGGATGGCTTTCAAATGATAAGCGAGAAGAGATGATTGTGGTGGAATGTTGGAGTGCGTTAGCCTGAGTTTATGCAGGGGTGTTATGTCGCGTGTCTTGTTTCTTTTTGTTGTGTTTGTATTTTTGTTGCTATATACCTGTGCTCAGTCTTGTTCCCCTTTCGATTTTCTTTTTCCTCACCAATTGGGAAAAAGAAATCTAAAGGTAAAAGTTTCTAGTCATACAAATTATTAGAGTTGATCACTAACACTATTTCTTATTATATATTTGTGTTTTTCTCTCTCTCTATATTCATTTCACTTCTATCAGCTTTCTTTTCTTTCTTTCATTCAAACCTTGTCAGGTTTGCTTTTCTTTGATCTCTTCGAGACTCGTCACCTCGCTGTCGAGAGATCTCATATCTTATTGTTTTGTTAAAGGTGTGTTAGTCATACGTAGTGTAGTTCTTTCTTTCCTCACCAATTGGGAAAAAGAAATCTAAAGCTTTCTTTTCTTTCTTTCATTCAAACCTTGTCAGGTTTGCTTTTCTTTGATCTCTTTGAGACTCGTCACCTGGCTGTCGAGAGATCTCATATCTTATTGTTTTGTTAAAGGTTTGCTTTTCTTTGATCTCTTCGAGACTCGTCACCTCGCTGTCGAGAGATCTCATATCTTATTGTTTTGTTAAAGCCTTCTTAACACAGTGTCATTTCAACGTTGAGTTATCTACTCCGTTGTATTCTTTTAGCCCGGCCCCGGATGCCCAAGGCTGCCTGGACATGTTCTCAAAGCCTACAATACGCGCCCCGGGTCACCTAAACCTAAGTGATGATAGTCACAAAAGCCCCGCCGGTGTCTTGGGGGGCCCCGCCTGGCCGGATGCCCATGAATTTTCCTTCAAAAAAAAAGTTGAAGATCAACATTGATCAACAAGTATCCACCAATCATTGTGGGACTTTATACTAAGTTTAATTCCCGTTTTATCATTGTATTACCTGTTATCACTTCATACAAACCTTAATAAAGTTTTATATTAGATATCCCTCCATCCCACATTTATAATATCCAATTCCAATTTCCCAGATGTCCACTGTTAATGACCCTCCCTCTAGTCTCACTCCCTCTGATTCCGTCTCTGAAGCCAACACTGCCCAGACCAATACTACCACTGTAGTTTGCTTGTCTTGGGTGTGGCATTATTTCAGCCAGCAAGACTTCAACGGAACCCTTAGAAATGTCTGTTGAGCCAAGGAAGGTTTTGCCGATAACTATACTAACAATCCCGAAGATCCCAAGGCTCATATCATCATCTGCAACAAGGAGATGGCAATCGACCAGACTGGGAGCACCAAGTCTATGATTAGACATCTCTCATGATGCCACCATATTGAGCCGCCGGTCAATACCAATCAACGTACTATGGCTGCTTATTTTACAAATGGAAGACTAACCAAAGTAAGTTTTTTTTTGATCCTTTCCTTTTTTTTATTTCAATGTCCTTATGTTTGTTTCTTTATACCAGGTTAAAACCCTCAATCGCGCCAATCTCAAGGATGCATTGATCCGTCTAGTTGTCAATCGCGAGCTCCCAATCTCATTAGTCAACACTGACGAATTCCGCAAGCTCCTCACGATGATCAACTCTGCTTTTCCCGCAATTTTATCAAAGCAAACTTGCATCTCCAATGGCATTTTGGCTAAGTATTGATCTGCTTGAGGTGCTGTCATCAATCTTCTCTTGGAAGTCAAGCATGTAAGTATCACATGCAATGGTTGGACTTCTCCCAGCAACGTTGCTATGCTGGGAGTTACTGCTCACTGGATCAATGCCGACTTCAACATTAAGGATGTCATCCTTGCTTTGAAACTGATTGACGGACCTCACACCTGTGCAAATCTGGCCACTCTCCTCAAGCACATCTTGGATAAGTTCAATCTCTCTGATCAACTTTATTGCATCACCGCCAATAATGCGTCGATCAATACCACAATGGGGCAAAATCTCATCACCATGATTACAACCTTTGACGCCTCCAAAAACCTCCACGGTTGTGTTGCCCACGTCATCAACATGGTGGCTAAGTCTGGTATGGTTGTGTTTGATACCAAGACTGCCCCTACTCTGGTCAATGCTCTTGATCCCAACATCCCTGGTCAACCCTCTGTTCCCCTTTTCACCAAATCAACCCCACATTCTGCTGTCCTGAGTGTTTTAACTCGTATTCAATCTTTTCACAAGAAAATTAAGCACAGCTCTCAACTCAAAGCTGCCCTCAACAATGCAATACAAGGTTGTGCCAAACTCAAACGGAAAGTTGGATTGGTTCATGAAGTCTTGACTCGATGGTCTTCAACCCACGCCTCTCTTGAACGCTTTGTCGA